GTTGACTAACATTTTCTTGGTATTTTGCTAACGTGGATAAAATTTATTAATTGTTCGTTTGATTAGATTAGGAGCAATAATTCATAAAATGATATTTGATTCAATCGACTGCAACTGCACTTGTAACAAACTTTTTCATTGTATGATTTATTGTCTTTAATCTAATCAAAAGAAATAAATTTAATAATTTTAATTATACGTTAATAAAATATTATAAAAATGTTACTCGACAAATTACTCATCAATTAAAGTCAATTTGATTGAAGTCACTTTATAAATCCTAGCGGTTGAAGTAAGTAATGGTAAAAATTATTAATTAATCTTACGGAAGTCTCACTCTAAAGAGAAAAACTCGATAACTCCAGATAACTATAATTATTGCGTACACATATAATAATCAGAGTTATCTACAGTTATCGATTTTATGTATAGAGCGACTTTGACAAGATTGTGATTAATAATTTTTTTTCTCATTGCTCACTTCATCCGCTACGCTTAATTTATAATTTATATAATGAAGAGAGTAATGAGAAAAATTTCAAGTTCTTCTCTTCAAGGAAGAATAATTCGATCTCGAACCTGGAAGTTACAATCGCGAAAGTTCGCGATGTTTCCTCGCGAGACTTTCCAAGCAAGATGCCCATGTGTGTTTGTTTTCGTGAGTTAATCCGAACAGAAGTATTGATTTTATCGAAGAAATCGTGGGGTAGCCTTTAGAGAAATTTAATACTAGTACTGGCCAATTTATCATTTAGTTCGAGTATTCAAAGTACTGTTGAATACTTCAGAATAAGTGATTAATAAGCTAGTTCTAAGTATTAAATTTCCATAAAGTAGGACGGCGGTTGTCAAATCTCTGAATACTTTTAAAATCATAATAATCTATCCGGGAAATCGCAACTCGCGCTGATTGATGGGAAAGTATCCACAGATCTCGATGAGGTCTCCTTAAAACGAGGCGAAGAGCTGTCGTTAAGGAAAGCTGCGAGTCGATCGCTGTCATGCCTGTCATTCGGGACCTGCCATTTATGCGTAACGCAACTCCATAACGGTCGCAACGCGAAAACTCGCTGAGAGCGTCGCGATTTATTCGAATTCCGTTTGTGTCTGACTCCGTTGGAGTCGAGGGAAAAGTGGATCGCGCGAACATATTTTATGTGTATTGTTTGCAGAATGTCAGAAGTATTCCCGCGTGAGCGCGAACTCTCGTGGGTGACACATTTTAATTGTTTGCTTAATGAGTTTCGTTCTCGTTTTACCGTTTATGCCACGGTAGAATTATTATGAAAGTATAAATTATAAATTTGTGGAAGTAAGTGTACGCGTGTGAGGGGAATAATAATTATTTTTAAATAATATAATAATTTAAATTTTATTCTCATAAACATTATACGATTCACAGGTGTAAAATAATTTTTATTTCTATCAAAATAAAAATTACTTAATCAATACAATAAAAACTATTTAATTGTCAAATAGCAAACTTTTGTACTTTTATACATTATTATCCAGCTGTTTACATCATTCGAAAGTTTATATTAAATGGAATTTATTTTTTATTAGCGTTTTCACTTTTACACGCTACTTGACAATAACGCCGCCCGATGCGGGAGGATCGGCGGTGTGTTTAAACCGTGCAAGCCACGCTTTACGTAATCGCACATACCGGCATAGTTTTCAACGAGGAAAGTGTGTAATCGAGCGACGTGTCCGCGCGTCGATGGCACGGCGTTACGTCGGATTATACACGCGCGTATAATAAAAAAAAAAGGAGAATGACTTGGATCGCGGCGCGCGATTCCCGCTAGTCAAAGTCCTTTTCCCACGTACGACATACACAGCATCTTGCTTACGCGAAGAATAAACAGCTGGAGGTCCTTATTTCCAACAAGCGATACGTCCGCGGCGCGGAGTTTCGCACCGCTAGTGATGATCTTCCTCTATGAAAAGAAAGTTACCGTCGAATCCCCGGCGGGTATTAACGGTCGATCCCATCCGATAAATATTTCTTCCCACCTTCTTTTGATTTTTTTCCCGTTACGACGACTCGTTGTTACGCGACTTTCGAATTGACATTCATAGGCGATATTTATAAATGGTTTTTATATTTAAGATCGCCTCGTCATGATCATTAGAACTGTAAGATTGTCTAAATAAGAACAAATTATGAGTAGCAAGTCTTGTGCCTTCGGTTTGAACACGTTTACGTCTTGTAAGATTCATCCTATTTTTAGTGCTATTATTACACAAAAGGAATGTAGAATAAATCTTTCAACATGTGAACGTCCAAACCGAACGTAGCGCGTACAGGGTAATATATGATCATTTCGTTTTTGTTAAATATTTGTAAACAACAAGGATGAATAATTAAACATAAGGAAGCTCATTATGCAATCGCATATTTTTAGAATTATTTGCATATTTTTTAGTATTATTTTTTCGGTTATTATTCAATTTTGAAGACATCTACATTAGAAACACATTTTTCTTTATTATAACGTGCGACGATCATTTGCGATACTCGAATAGGTAGATAATACCATGCTATCGATGTTCTCTGAAACATCGAGTTTCGAGAGCGATCAAAACGGGTTTTTCGTGAACGTCAAATAGATGTGCGGAACCGATCTACTAGTCGACAGTCTCGTTAGAACCTGGTTAGAATACGAAATGTCACGAAGTGCTATCGCACAACCGCTTTCGTAACGAATGTCGTAATACCCACAGCTTCTCCTGTACAATGCTGTCAATAACAAGTTGTTTCACCTGATCTAACGAAGCAACTTGGCTCGTTATATAGTGCCCGAAGTATACTCCTGGTTAACAGAACATGCACTGTGCCTCACCATTTTGTGTCCAGCTGTTGAGGTCGTGGCAGAGCAAAGTCCAATCGTCCTCCAAATCCTGGAAAGTTGCCGTTGACAATTTCACCGAAAATATTCTTCGTCCTTGCGCCATGTCACGATGTCGCTAAACGGGATCGCCGCGCGCGTACCACGTGCGTTCCACCTGTCGTCGTGGAGAATCCTTGATCGAGAACGTCAAGATCCTTCCGCGAGTCTAAAAGAGAATCAGCCGACGCGTGAAGATTCACGAAAGTCGCAGGAAAACAATAACGGCGATAACGGACGTTTATTTATCCGCGAAGTCCTGAGTACGATCGCGCGAAACGTCATAGACAGCACACGAACAATATGAACGAAAGGACCGAGCTGAGGTTGAAGCATGGGCGTTAAAATAACACCCGGCTGCATGCGTGCGTTCTACGCGCTTGCACACGCACCTGAACGCGCGGAACGCGGATTCGTTCTACCTCTGCTCGCTTCGCACGGTCGCCGAGTTTCTCGTTGTTTATTTTTAAAAGCTCGCTCGGCCGTCCACTTGTCACACACGCGTGTATCGTATATACGTACATACATACACAAGACGACGTCGCAAGAGGTTCGACTGATACGTGTACAAGTATACGTCCAAAGTTTCCCGTCTAAGGGTATAAAAAAGTGATAAACGAACATGAATTTATCATCGATTTCAATGCATAAATTTTTTCAATATAAATTAAAAAATAATAATTTGAGAATCAAGATTGCAGAATGATTGATGAAGCACTCTTCACAGGGTTACATTTTAAAGACAAAAATACAAAATATTTTTAATAAAAAATATAAGGAAATCGTTTCACCATTCCAGAAAATGAAATAAAAGACTATCGAATAAACAGCGATAATTGAAAAATAAAAATAACCGTTTCATTTTTATCATCTTTTTTTTATATCCTTCGACCAAAAATTTTTGGAACCTATACAATTCAACCACAAACGTCACCGCTTTTGTCATACAATATCTGATAATGTAGATCGCGTGATTTCGATCCGATTATCAATATCAAGATAGGCTGATGAATCTAAAGAGTAATGAGTGATAACAATAGATTGATAAATGTCTTCCACTTGTTGCTTCGCTATCTTTTATGTATTTCTTACATTGTCATTAAAATTGTAATCTTTCCTTTATTTCTATGTAAATGTGAAAAAAAATGACAAACAAAATTTCCATGATACTTGTGGCAAACAACTTGTGGTCGTAAATCGTGGAATAAAATTGAAGATATTTCATTGTAATATATATTCAGTAATATATTCTTAAGCAAGAGAGCTGTAAGATACAAAAATGTGACATTTTACAAAATTCTCATTTAAATAATCTGAATTTATACATAAAGATGTTATTTGTCTTCTAAGCATTTATTTTGAAAATAGGATTGAAAATCAAAAGATGCTTTCGAGAAATGTGATACTTGCTTATCCATGATTTTTATTTTGAATAGTTTATCAGCCATTTTATCAGTTTATAGAATTATATTAATTTTTCTAAATACAAGGATTTTCTAACTTATGATGTGGTGTCTAAAACGAATCAACCTCTGGACACAAGTACGAAGATTGTTTATTTATTCCTACAAGTGTTCAAACACGAAGCGATTTGAGACAAGTACTCTTTAAAAAAAGTAAGAATAATATTATTTGACGTAAGCACTTCTCATAAATAAGTTTTGTTTAGGTTAGCACATTAGGTTACTTATCGCTATCTTAAAAGCTATTTTTGTACATTACGTGTTTGTACACAGAGTAATGTGTTGCAGGTTTTGTTTGGAAATACGTTTCTTATAAAAATGAGCGTGAAATGCAATAGAAAACAGTCTTCCACGTTAAATATATGTACATATCGGCGACATAAATAACGATGATGAACATTTCGAACACTTCCGACAATACCGGAAGTTCACGAAAATGAGCGAAATGAGTATATTATTTTTCAACACCTTATATATATACACACACATATATACATATATATATATTTACAATACAAATATTGTGTGTGTGTGTGTATATGTATATATATAAATATATATATATCAAGAGACTCGGTAGTATCTCCGATCATGTTCAAAAACTGAAAGACACTATAAGTCTCTTATCCCGAAGTCCATTTTTTCGGGTATATATATATATATACATACAATATTTGTGTGCGTATATGTATACTCACTTATATAATATACTCCACACTTTTTGATGCTTTGATGATACTGGCGCACTTATATTTAATTAAAAATCACTTATAAACACGATGGAATACAAATACTTTTTTCACTCGTTGTATGTATATGAGTAAACGATATTTTGTAACGTAGAAGAGTTTTTTTAATTCTGTCACACAAACATCGAAAATATTCATGGAGATAGGCGGACTTCTTCCATGGCAAAAATTAAGTTGTCCAATCCATACAAAAAACCCTCTTCGTGATTGCCTTCTTCCCAAGGACGTCTATGCGTGAGTTTTCGTCCGTCTGGTACCTCCCGTGTCTTCGCGAAATCTATCATCCAAACACCCACCTTTTCGCTGTCGTGGATCATGAAAATACTGCTGCCGATTACCTGAAAAATAAAATAATACATTCAAATAAATAAATGTACAAAATAAATTTTACAACAATCGCAAGAGTTCAAAAACTGTTCAAAAACTGACGTATCGTACCTCGTGAGTTTCAAAATACTCTGACTGCTCAATTTTGGTTCGCAGGTTCCTGAGACGCGTCAGAAGCTTTTGACGAGTGTCCTCGTGTTTGCCGAGGAATTGTTTAATGATGTCGAGCACATCCGAATGTGACTTGATCTTCTTGAGATCGGTGATCGGTGGCGCACCCGGTAGTTTCATCGCTTCGATACGAAAACCGTGGCTGCAGGTTGAGCTCTGTTCCTCGCGGAACTGCATGTACCGTAATTTGGTCACGGCATGTTGCTCGTGCTCTAGCTGAGTCGGCGCGTTCGGATCGACAGAAATCATCTTCTGATAGAGGTCCGGTCTAGCAGTCGTCTTGGACACCTCGGATTCGAGGAAGGTCCGCGTGCCCATTTTAATGTCCATTACATGCGGATCGTTAAATCCGAAGAGTAGATCCTGCAGCTCGATAAACGTGTCGCCCTTGTATTCAACTTCCCGATAATATCTGCAAAGAACAACCATCGTTGTTGAGTCTCGCGGTGTCCATTTTATTACTTCTTACATAAAAAACAAAAAGATTTTTAAGTAAACCTTGGAATGCAATCCCGCAACGCTTCCTCCTTGCTCAAGGTCTCGTAAACGATGCGTTCCGTGTTTTCAACGCCGCCCGTCCGTCTTTTCCAAACAGTGCCAGGTCCGGCAGGTGCAAAGCCGTCCGGGTGGCCCGATAATTGAAACCAGGACTTGAGTCGGTTCTTCAATAGCACGTCGCTGGCTGGCGCCGTCAGATCTAGAGCATTCTACAACATGGTCAGATGACGCAATCAGTTGAATCGTTTTCCGAAAAACATGCGCGATTGAAAGACTAGCTACATACTCAAAACTTTTATTAAATTTTATTAAATTGTCACTCTAAAGAGTTGAAATCTCATACTAAAAGTTGAAGATTGAGCCACTCTTTTTCAAGACTAGCTCAATTTTCACTCTTTAGAGTGAGATTCCACTTCAAAGAATTTAGAGAGTATAAATATGAATACACGTACCAGGGCGAGGAATTTCAAAGAGAGATCCTCGTCCGGCATCGTCGTGTCGGACAGAACCATGGGGAACTGTTCCAACTTTCGCATGGTGGCCGGATCGTTTGGTAATTTGGTGAGCGAGCTAGATGATCTGGAACCAGCACTGCTGGACCGACTGCTATGAGAACCCAACGAGGTGCTCCGTCGCCATTGACGGAAGGCACTGTAGGTGCTGCTGCTGCTACTGCTGCTGCTGCTTCCGCCGCTATTGGACCCATCCTTCTGTCGACGGTGATCCTTGTTGCCCATCGAATCATGACTGCTCAATCGTGTTTGCTCCTTGCTCGAGGGCTGCAACCAGAGAGGCCTACTAAGAATTTAATCCGACCGGGACAGTGCGTTACGCTATAGACTATGCCGCCTCGAAATTTCAGTCGCCCAGAACCGGAGGAATCGATACGACGAGATCGCATCCAATCGGATCGGTTTCGCCATTGAAACGGTATTCAATAACTATTCGACAAGATGATCCGAGTTATCTCGTTAGGATAGGAGCATGGATTATTACATAACACATAACGTATAAGGCATAAGAATATTAATAAAACAATTAGAGTATTTTATTCCATAGAAAGGAAGGAAATTCAGAACTTTGATTGGTTTATTTTTTTTTATGTATTATACGTTATGCAAGACTCTGTACTTCCGCCCTTACTCTGAAGTCGCCGGTCGCGCGCGCGAAGGCTGTTTATTATTATTCGCCTTAAGTCGCGTTACCCTGTGCATTTCAACGTGAATATTCGATACCGTGATACACCGTTCATTTTAATTTCCGCGGCAAGGTTTGCGCACACATAACTCGACCGTGATTTTGGCCTCGATTATCGACCCGCGTTATCAGCTTGCGACTCATGTCTATGATTGCAAATGACGGCGAATCGATTACTTATTAATAACGTTTGATAAATCGCGAAAACGTATAATTGCTAAGACATAAACAGACTCATAAGTGGCGACTTGTTTTATTACAATGTTGATAAAAAAAAAAAAAGAAGAAGACGGATAAAAAAAATCACCCGTACGTACCTCACGGGAGGAGGACGCAGAGGGGAGGGAGGGGAGAGGGGGAGGAAAAAACCAGAACTCGGAGCGCAATCGTTCCACAAATACGGATCGCGTCTCACGCTACCTATTGACGTCAATGACTTTTATTCGAGCTGCATCGTGCCACTTGTCGCCGCAGGGCCAATTCCAGCGTGTTCGCGGTGCGCGATCGCCCCGGGCGGGGGTTGGGGACGGGGGGAAGAGAGAGAGAGAGAAACGATCGAAATGTCGAGGCTCAGTAATCTTTAATAGATACGAAGCGTTGCGGATGTGCACCGACTGTTTGTGCACTCGCTTTAAATTTAGACCACCCGTGAATTTGACATTTTCTCCACGGGACGAATTAATTCTAATAGTTCAACTCATTAATGCTCGGCACGACGTTCGCGGCCTTAGGGTATTATAACTTCGACGAATCTCCGATTGACTTAATCGGTAATTAACTTATCAAGTAACACCTGTTCTGTTTTGTTAACATGGAATTATTAACTTCTTGTATATTATGTAACACACTGAGAGAAAAACTGTTTGGTATATTTATAACTTATATCATTATATATTACTATAATTATGATTATATAATATTAATAACTATATGTGTATAGTTCTCTATCAACCAATATATATATAGTTGGCAACCAAAAATGACTATAATTATAATTACTATTACCGCATAAAATGATTTAAACAACTATAATTATTATAGATGGTCATTTAAATCATTTTTTATGGTAACTTCAACAATTTTTATGGTTATTACTACTATAATGTTAGTAATAAGTAACCATAAAATAAAGTTTCTGATTATTTTACCATACAATTATATAGTCACAAATATAGTTTTCTCAAACATGAAAAAATTACAGTATAAATCATGATTTACAGTAATTTAAAGTTAAATATAATAAAATATCAAAATATATACATGATAAATAAAACATGATAAAAGAAAAACAAAGAAATAAAAAGGTAATTAAGAGTCTAAAACATAAATGTGATCTAATAAATCATTTAATATAACATAACAAAATAAAATAAAATAAAATAAAATAAATTACAACAACAATACAAGCAAATTAAAATTAAAAAAAGAATTGAAAGTTAAAAACATTACGTTTTGGCTCCATGTTTGAGCCTTCCTCAGATGTACAAAATATTAATAATGCAGAAAAATTAACAAAATTATATCGAATATGAAGTTGTAGAAGGTCAAAGAAAGTTGAGTATTTTCTCAGAGGAAACAAAAGAGCTCGTCAAGCGATTGGATGACCGTTTGCGAAATATCCTTGTGGTTCTAATAAGGACACAAAATTTCGTTTCTAAAAAACTATATTGAGACAAGCAATTTTTTCTCTGATAAAAACTCACCCTTGAGTGCAGAAAATCGGAAAAATCCATGTCGATAAATCAGTCATCTAACAATAAAGTCGGTGGCGGTAAAGAAAATTGTTTTCGCAATATAAATGCAAATCGTCCAAAATATAAAAAAATTTTTTATGACCGTCAGACTATCTCGACGTACGAAACAGAAATGCGTAAGATGTTGGTAATGCAAAGTCAAATATTGTTTATAATAAAATATATGATTTATAAAAACCCTCTGTGTCTGTCTGTAGGTCAAGACTGTTATTCTGTTTTTTAATATTGAGCATCTCTGAGACAATACGTTTGCTATAACACGGTTCTTCATCTAAAATTTGTATATTGTTCCAATCGAAATTGTTGCAATCTGTGATCTGTTATCACCGATCTGGAGCTCGTATTCCATCGAATGTGGTTGCGGTGTTCTGCAATTCGTGTTTTTAATTTTCATCCTGTTTGTCCCACATAAGACGAATCACAATCATTGCAATTTATTTTATAGACTACATCAGACTTAGACAGAGAATCTAATGGATCTTTATGTACCTTGATATATTTTCTTAATTTGTTAGAACTAAAATATGCCACCTTGATATTGTTTCTATTAAACTGTTTGAATTTTTCTGTAAGGATCGGTACATATGGTACTGTGAACCATGACTTTATTGTTAGATGACTGATTTACCGACATGGATTTTTTCGATTTTCTGCACTCAAGGGTTTATCAGAGAAAAAATTGCTTGTCTCAATATAGTTTTTTAGAAATGAAATTTTGTGTCCTTATTAGAACCACAAGGATATTTCGCAAACGATCATCCAATCGCTTGACGAGTTTTTTTGTTCCCTCTGAAAAAATACTCAATTTTCTTTGAACATGACAGTTTACAACTTCATATTCGATATAACTTTGTTAACTTTTCTGCGTTATTAATATTTTGTACATCTGAGGAGGGCTCAAACATGGAGCCGAAAACATAATGTTTTTAACTTTCAATTCTTCTTTTTTTAATTTTAATTTGCTTGTATTGTTGTTGTAATTTATTTCATTTTATTTTATTTGATTTTGTTATGTTATATTAAATGATTTATTAGATCACATTTATGTTTGCAGGTGTCCTAAGTCCACATTTATGTTTTAGACTCTTAATTACCTTTTTATATCTTTGTTTTTTAAATATTAAGAGTCCTCTCTCTGTATATTCTTTCTATTTTTAAATAAAATAAACATTTTTATTCGCAGTAAATGCAATCGCAATAAATGCAATTGTTTTCTTAAATTCACTTACTATTTATATATGATAATATAATAATTGAAAAATGTTGTAAAAAGATTACAAATTTTCAAGCAGTATGTGTGACTATTATTAACAGCACAGTTGATTATGTTTGCATGATTAAAACAATTATAAATATATAATCGTCTCAAAAAATAATAACTACAAATTATGGTAATTGCAATTTTTTCTCTCAATGCATCGGTAGAGTCTACGAATCATATTGCGTCAATCGGGAAATAACAATGATGTTCACTTTTAAAATATGTGTATATTGCCCTGACTGAAGTGTTTTCGCAACACTAATTTCTCTCGTTAATAACAAGCATATACTAGAATATAAAATACGCACCAATGATTTCATTAGGCTCGAATCAACCTAGTCTTTCTATTCTGATTTCTTATATTTTCTAATTCCGATTCTCTTGTCGATTTCTCTTTACATCTCATATAACGCCCCAGTTGCTACCAACTAAAAGTAACATAACAATCAATGTTATAATTTCGCACTCTCGACAAGTAACTGTTGCGTAATAAACCATGTGTTATCTAATTAAATGAGAAAAATCGGTCAAAATAGTGTTTAAATATTTCTATGTGAATTTATATTTATCTGATTCTGACTGCGTGTTGAAATCTTTTCTAGTCTCGAAGCGCAATCATATGAGCAAAACCAGAGTAGTAATGTCATTTACTAAATTGACAAACAATTTAATAATTTTTGATACTAATAAGCATTTTTATGAGAATATTAACAATTGGATATTAATAAAAATTTTTAATCTGCGAATAATTTATTGCGAAAAATGTTGCTTCGGTCAGGATGTGGACCATGTGTCATGTTACATTTACATTATTAAGTGCGAATTATAATATTGATATTATTTTTGTTGGTATCAACTGGAGTGCAGAGTTACAATTTAAGTAAACAAAGAAATTTTTTATCAGTATAATCTTATCGATTATTTTGCTGTGATAGAACCAAATGAAAAGTACAGTTAAAATAGCATTTTGTACACCGTACAAAACACTACATTTTAACTGTTTGTATGATTTCTTCCTGTATTTACAACTAAAATGTATAATCTTATCGTATCATGCACATCATAGATTACCGTAAAGTAAAACATCGCAAACAACTAAAGATTGTTTAGTGACTCGACGATAAAGACTCGACGTCTACAACGAGCTTTTAAGAAGTAAAGCTTAAGCTTTCAGCCTTAAACCGCAAGAAATTGACAAATCACAGTCGATTATTCTGTTCACATTTGATTATGATCGGTTAATTTCTTAATGCTTAAAGCTCAAGTTTCATATTTTAATACGTATAAAATGTTTTATTATACAAAATCTTATTGTAGATCCCGCTTAAATCGCTGCTGCGATGTGTTCGCGCCGCGAAAATGCTCGCTAGGTTCCTCGTAATGGAAAAATTTACATTACGTAGGATATTATAGCAGCGGAAAAAGAAAATTGGCCAAGAAATACGTTTCTGGAAAAATACGGCGGGTGCGGCTAGCTATGCCTTCGTTTTAGAAAGAAAAACAAGCGTAAATGAATGTTAATTGTGCGTAACGACGCCGTGTGTTAAGTAGTCTCCGTTAAGTTCGGCCGGACACGCATTCAGCTTAATTCATCCCGGTCATTCTGCCGCTAATGGCTTTTATGACGAATATAGAGTCGAGTAAATGGTGCCGCGAGTAACGCGACGCTTTAATGAAATACACTGTTCGGCGTCCGCCGCACTCTGCCTCCACGACGCCGCGTCGCGCCGCGACAATCCGCCGTCGGAATTCGCCCGCGTGTTACCTGCGCTGTTAAGAGAGTGCCCGCAAATCCCGTTATTAAATTACCACGGCAATATTATAACCAACGACGAAATATACAACTTAACTCGTGGCTGCTCCGCGCGCGACTCGGTAACAAGTGTATCCGCACTTAAAACTGTGTCACCGCGCGCCTCGAGCGATCTGTCGCAGCCGCATATCGCTCCGCGAAATCGTAAAGCCCGTGTCACACTATGCATGTGAGATTAATGATTGCAAATTGGAAATTAAAATTCGGCCAGATAATTTTAATTTCAATCGGACTGGCTGAATTCTAATTTCGAATTCGCAACCCTCAATCTCCAATGCATACCCATACAACTTACATATAAAAATAGGAATTTAAAGCCTAATTTACAATTACATAAGTATAGTTACAATTGTAAGAATTGATCAATTATAATTGAATATAGCACTATTCGATTGTAGTTGATCAATTCTTACAACTTACAACTACGCTTAAGCGACGTCTACAATGAGATTTTAAAATATAAAACTTAGCCTTAAATTGTATAATAAGAAATCAATAATTATAGTCGAATTTGAGAAAAATAATTGACTATGATTGGTCAGTTTCTTATAGTTCATGGCTTACTGAACAATATTATTTCCATTGGAGATGATTCTTGAGATTTTCTACGATATGAAGTCCAAAAGATGGTTTAAGAGTCTAATGAGATTATAAGATATAAGCCAAAGTTTCATTTATAAAAAATTGACCAATCACAGTCGAATATGAGAAAAATTATCTACTATGTTTGGTCAATTTCTTACAGCTTATGACCTCTTTGGCCGGCATTCATACTCCGTTCTTATTTTAAGTCTTAGATAATTAAGTCTTAAGATGCCACTGCGGCCCTCTTGGCCGGTATTCATAGTCGATCCTTATATTTAAGATTGTCAAGTAGAGTCTTGAGATGTCATGAACTAATCAGAGAACACACATTAACACTTTAAGACATTACTTAGAACGGTCTTAAAATAAAAACAGACTATGAATACCGGCCTTCGATTGATTCGTGATAGCGTGAGGCCGTATTTATTAAGATAGTCTCAAATACAAGAATTGCTTATGAATATCAGTTTTAAAGCAAGATTGTGAACCTAAACTTGAGCCGTAAAAAATGACCAATCATATAGATACAGTATGACTTGGGCTTAGGCATCGCCAAACGATTTCTCGTTCAAACTAGGTTGCACGCTTAACCCTTTCAACCTGCCAGGCTGAGGTCGTGGCACGATGCGTTCCGTCGGTAGACATCTCGTCGGAGAAATCGTTCGGTTCTTTCTCGATCTCTGTTCTCCGTGTTAATTTAGTCCGTCGATCGAAGAACTTTTACAACAAAGCTCGCGTGTCAGGAAACATTCGTAAACTATAAACTCCACCTTCCGTTTTCTTGTTTTCTCCGGCGAATAGCGAGACTACGGCACGTGGACGTGTATTAATGCCGCCACATATCATCAGCGATGACTATGCTGGTTGACAATGCGCGCGTGCGTCATTAATAGGAAAATCTATCATTATTTTTCACGCGTATTCCCGTATCAAGGCTCCAACGTGATTAATCGCCGATATCCGCCTTTCGCGATATCGCGCGAGACGAGGCGAAATCTATCTGGGGACGGGGATTAGCAGAGGAAGATCCGAGGAAGTGAGGCGAGGTGAAGAAAGTTGGAAAGCTTCGATAGAAGGTGTAGTACGTCATTGCTCGCACGACCTCCCGTTGCGCCAATTGTACCGAATGCTTCTTTCTCTTTTTGGTCTTAAAAAAAAAAAAGAAATTTTATGCGCAATAATGTTTATCAACAATTCAATTAAATTCCGGATATTTAATAAATATTTTATTATAAATATATATTTTATTATTAGGAGAAATATTTTATTCGTCACATTGGATGAATAAAAACATTAATAAAACGACAAGATTGCGAAGTTCTATGATGGTAATAAAGATGACCTTTTAATGGCTTATTATATGTCATTATGTTCCTACTCTTATTACCGGTTTATTATATATTATTGTATATTTTTATATTTTGATTTATTATATAAAAAAATTCCTCACCTATTAAAGAATTTTTTTAGGAAAGTATGCAGATTGATAAATTTTGGAAAATTAGTGATCTTCAGAAGAGATGTCGAGAGACACGAATCAAAAAAATGTATTTTCAAAGACACAACATTACATTTTGGATTGCAGATGATTTCTTTCATCTCATTTGATTTACAGCCCCTTTTTTCCACAATTTCTGGGGACGGGTCTTTCTTGGGGAGAGGAAAAAACGCATTCCTTTCTTTTATCTTACTTTATTGCATTTTCGATGAACTACTGTGTTCTAGGAAAATACGTATTTGTGGAACAGAATATAAATTACAGCACTTTGGTGTTGTTGTTCTTTAACCGACGAAATAATAGCGAATTCGGTCACTTGCATCGAAGTAGGTCATATTCTCAAAAGATATAACATATAAAAATACATCCGCAAGTACTATAATATACGTTGTTGTGTACACTATAAGAAAAGTATGTTTTAACATCATTATTTTAATTGAAAATAATCCTGTTGATTTAACAATAATATTAATAAAACAAATAAAATTTTAGTAAAACAAGAGCATGACTTATTTGTTTCATTAATGCGGTGTTATTAAATTAACAAAAATATTTTCAACTAAAATAACGCTGTTGATACATCATTTTTTTCCAGTGTATATAGATTTCCCTTATACTTTTGTATACGATATTTTTTTAAGAATAAGATTGTTCTTTTTAGTTGAATTTCTTACAGCGTTCAGTTTTTCTTCTTTTCTCTCTATATTGGGAGGAAAAAAGGGAAAAGATAAACCGTGCAAGAGTTCAGAAAAGATCTCATAAGCTGCGGTTTCACTTATGTAAAATTAACTTTAATCTCGGTTTAACTTATTGCTTATCTTCTCCTAATTTTTACAATTTCTTAGAATTAGATAAAAAGTAAATTGATCCGAGATTTAAGTTCATTGGTGGAATAATTGCGTATCTTAAAACGAGATAAAAATTACAAAAGGGAGCAAATTCACCAAATGTTGATTGTAATGAAAATACAAATAATGAATATTAAGATTAAAAACAGGACTGTTTGAATAAATCAATTAAATAAATACAAAGAAGCCAATAGAAATTTATTATAAATAATGAATTTTTGTAACTTTTACCTTATTTCAAAATACAATCGACCTCCAAGCCTTCCTGGCCTCAATCGTCTTCATTACGATATCAAACGGCGCGCGCTATCGCGACGTGCAATCTTCATTCAAGACACCCTGTATGATACACGGTCGCTCGTCGAGCGAGATGAAATCGTGTACATAGGTAAGGCCCGGTAGTAAGTGAGGTGCATGTACAACAGGTCAATGATCTTCCGTTGCAAACCCGCGTAATTATTCGATCGATCGCGCGGCGGTGTAATTTCCCGGCGCAGCGGTTCTTCGCGCCAGGCCGATCACGAATTTAATACGCCCGGGCGTGTTTTGTAAACGACGCGTGGCCAGGCTACGGTTATCGTCTATTACGCCAATCTAGAGCACGTAGTAGACACAGCTGCGTGCGCGCACGCCGTTCACGCGTATTAATCGCATACTCGAAATTCCGTCTCGCCAGTAATTCACGCGCTGATCCTCCGTTAAACGGGAGGAGAGCACTCGCGCGAAAAAGTGGAGGCGGAGAGAGAGAGAGAGAGAGAGAGAGAGAGAGAGAGAGAGAGAGAGAGAAAAAAGGGCACAAGGAATGACTCTCGCGTACCTTGTTGAAGTGGGTTTGCAGAAGCCGCTCATACTGATCAACGGCACGCAGGCAGAGCCTCGTGGTGAACGCTTCCATTCGTGCTGGCAGGGCCGGGTGACACACACTGCTCGACATTATTTATCCGTTTTGGAGTACGCGGGTAGACACGCGTGCCGCACGAGTACCGTTTCACAGGACAGACAGCGTGAAGTCGGCGTTTGTTCCTTCTCTCGCGAACGGATGCGCGCGCGCCCACTTTTGGGATCGTTCACCGGGGAGTGTTCACCAGGCGCGAACGAACGTCGGCGTTCCTAACCTCCATCGGGGGGTTGACGGTCGAACGAGCACGGCCGCCGGCCGTCGAGGCGAATCGACGAATGACGTGCGCGGGACAACACCGCGAGCAACGCCGAGCGGTTTCTGAGAGAACCCTACGATCCCTACGGACCCGGTAGGCGCGAGTCGCGCCAAGCGGATTGGCCGAGCCGGCCGAACTCGGGGCTACAACGGTCCTTCGCTCTCTCTCTCTCTCTCTCTCTCCACCTCACGCTTCCGTTGAACGCTGTTCGCGCGTTCTCTCTCCAACTCGCTCGCGGCTCCGTCTATCTATCCTTCTATGTACCCGCCGCGCGCGTTACACTTCCCGTCGTGTCGTTCTTTCCCCTCCCCGTATCATTCATCCTTCTCTCCCACTTTCGCGCGCTCTAATCTCGTTCTCTTTCTTCGGCTCCTATACTGTGCGCGCGCGTGCATCGACGTCACCGGCACTGCGTGCAACACGAATCGCTGTGTCGCGCGGCGAGACGGAGACACGGGTCTTCCCCTCCACTCCGCTCCGCCTTGCTCCGATGCGCCTCGCGACGTCACTGCGCGATACGTTCGTATACACCGTAAGCTACACTGACTGAAGCGACCAGAGAGCGCGAATGTAGTTTTATCGGTACGGTTATCCCTCTCTTTCCCCCTCGCCCTCCCCGCCATCCCCCGGGACTGTCGATCGCATGGAACGCAGGCGAAGTGCGGCTAGGAAGAGGCTGCGAAATATGGTAAATAAATAAAGCCGGATCCCCTTTTTCGCAACGCCCAGCTGTGAGCCGTCGTTGTCCTCACGCTTTGAGAAAGTGTGCTCGCACGTTTTTTTTTTTTTTTTTTTTTTT